TCTCTTCCTCCCACCTTCTTTCTCATTCCTTCTCATCTTCCCTTCCTTCTCTCTTCCTCCCCCTTCTCATCTCTACTTCCCTCTTCCTCCTTCCTCTTTTCATCTCTTCCTCCCACCTTCTCATTCCTTCTCATCTTTTTTGTTCTATTTGATTTGTCAATCGCTTACATGATAATAAGTATAAACATGAGTAAGTCCCTCTTCTCTTCCTCCCCCTTCTCTTCTCTCCTCCTTCCTTCTCTTCCTCCTTCTCATCTCTTCCCTCCTCTTCTTCATTCCTTCTCATCTTCCCTTCCTCCCCCTTCTCTTCTCCTTTCTCTTCCTCCCCCTCTCATCTCTCTTCCTTCTTCCTTCCTCTTCTCATCTCTTCCTCCTCTTTCTCATCCCTTCTCATCTTTATTTATTTGCTTACAAGATAACAAGTATAAACATGAGTAAGTCCCCCTTCTCTCTTCTCTTCCTCCCCCTTCTCACTTCTTCCCTCCTCTTCTTCCTTCCTCTTCTCATCTCTTCCTCCCTCCCTCCTCTTCCTCATTCCTTCTCATCTTCCCTCCCTCCACTCTTCTCCCCCTTCCTCTTCTTTTCTTCCTCCTCATCTCTTTTCTCCCCTTCTTCTCTCTTCTCCTCTCCTTCTCTTCCTCCTCTCCTCTCTCCGCCCTTCCTCCTGAACATCATATGCACCAAGGGTAATGGAGCACTATCAAAGGTAGGCAGTCTCTCTCGTTCAGCTTTCTGCAGCCAGTGACTGGACGTATCCCCGCAGCAAGGACACAGAAGCAGGGCGTTGCAATTCCTGAAGGACCGCTGTGCATAAGTAAACGGGAACCCAAACCCTCCGTTGTAATGACGGGGGTTGAAGAGTTTTAATGTTGCTGATCAGCTTTTCTGGGGTTAAGGTTGCCTGTGATGAGAGCCTTGGGCGCGTATTAAAATCCATATATGCTGTTTAAACTTTGTTTAGGTTTGCCTGAATTCCTCCTGTAGCTTTAAGGCTTTAAGGGCAATAAATCCCTGTAAATAAAATAGTAAAAAAACAAAAAACCCAACAACTTGGTATCACCAAAGTCACAAATCAAAGGGAGGCGGGACCGGAAATGACATCATTATTTGCATTCTACCATGTGTTTTGTAGTTCCGGGCCCCTCTAGGCATCGCGGCGCGGTTGGTTTAACCCTTGGAGCCCCGTTGAGGACTGTATAAGTGTCTTCGGCTTAGGAAAGCGCTCGTGTGTCCTTTTCTCATCTGTGACTCTGAGCAAGTGCAGAGTTCTCCTTTCCCTGGAGAAACCTCAGGGGATCTGAATGAGCAGGAAACTCCCAGATTGGAGACGGGAGCGCTGCTAAGAAGAAGTACACGACAAACTACTCCTAAAAATAAAATCCTATGGTATCTCTGGACAACTGAATAACTGGATAGAAGCATTCCTGTCAAACAGACAACAAATGGTCAAAATCGGGAGCGTCCTATCAAATCCAGTACCTGTCAATAGTGGTGTCCCCCAAGGCAGTGTTCTAGGACCAATTCTCTTCATACTCTACATAAATGACCTCTGTGATCATATTAAGAGCAATTGCGTTCTCTTCGCTGATGATGTAAAGCTGTTCAATACCACAGACAATACTGCTACCCTACAAAAAGATCTTGACTATGTATCAGAATGGTCAAACAAATGGCAACTTCAAATCTCAACAAATAAATGCTCTGTCTTACATATTGGCAAAAAAAATCAGAAAATAAAATACAAGCTGAATAGTCAAGATCTTGTTGATGACCCAAGCTCTGTAAAGGACCTTGGAATACTCACCTCTAATGATCTAAGTGCTAGAGCCCACTGCAACTACATAGCCAAAAAGGCATTAAGAGTTGTTAACCTAATCCTACGTAGCTTTTTCTCTGGTAATATCACACTACTAACCAGAGCATACAAAACATTTGCTAGACCAATACTCGAATACAGTTCATCAGTCTGGAACCCTCATTACGTATCTGATATTAGCACAATTGAGAAAGTCCAGAAATATTTCACAAGAAGAGTTCTCCACTCCTCTACTCGTTGCAGAATACCTTATGCCACCAGACTTGAAATTCTAGACCTAGAAAACCTTGAATTACGCCGTCTTCGGTCTGACTTAAGCATGGTATATAAAATCATACATTGCAATGTCCTACCTGTCAATGAATACTTCAGCTTCAACCATAACAACACAAGAGCACACAATAGATACAAACTCAAAGTTAACCGCACCAAACTTGATTGCAGGAAATACGACTTCAGCAATAGAGTGGTCAATGTCTGGAATACTCTACCCGACTCTGTAGTTTCTTCCCCAAACCCCAAAAACTTTAACCTTAGACTGTCTACTATTGACCTCACCCCTTTCCTAAGAGGTCTGTAGGGGGCGTGCATAAGCGCACCAACGTGCCTACCGTCCCTGTCCTATTGTTTCTCTTATTCTTCTTTTATCTTTCTTATATGTACCCATTTCATGTATTCACAACTATGTATACACTTATACTTATTATCTTGTAAACAATTGGCAAATCAAATAAATAAATAAATAAATAAATAAATAAATAAAGAAGCAGAGCGGTTCAGCTGTGCTTCAGCCGCGCAGTGTCAAGGACATACTCTGCACATGTTCAGAGATCCTGGTTGCCCTTGCTGCTTTATCCGGAAACTAGAAAGCTGCAATGGTCTCGGTGTGCAGAGATTCAAAGCATGGCAGCTATGTAGTCCTATTCTAAATATTTTTCTAAAAAAAATTATCAGGTGCACCTTTCCCGATGTGTTAGGCTAGAGCAGTTTCCCCCACCCCCACCCCAATTTAGGCAACTTTAAGCCATTTAATCAGAGTTGGAAGGGACCTTATAGGTCATCTAGTCCACCCGCCACCACCACCCCGCCCAAGCAGGAGACCCTACACCATTTCTGACAAATGGCAGTCCAATCTCTTCTTGAAAGTCTCAAGTGATGGTGCTCCCACAACTTCTAAGGACAAGCTTTTCCATTGGTTGATCGTTCTCACTGTCAGAAAGTTTCTCTTGGCCTTGGGCGGGAGGGTTGGACTAGATGACCTACAAGGTCCCTTCCAACTCTGATTATCTGTAAAAGTGGCCAAGATTGGGGAAACCCTGAATTAGAAGGTCTTCCTACTGAGATTGGTCCCTACTGAGAGATGCTCGGGGAATTATAAAAGCTCTTCTGGGGGAATCCTCTTCTCCAGCTATGCTAGAAATCCCAGGAGCCTCATTGTGTAGGCCTCTGTTGTCCCCAGGCCTTGTGTGGCTTTGTCATCCTCGCCATCATCTCCCCACTTTTTTTAAAAAAAGAAAAAAGGATCCCAATTGAAATGTTCTCCGCGTGCACCTCAAACAGGAGGCCACAGAGCTGTCCCCGTCCTGGGGCACGGTTCGCTCCCTCCATGCTCCTTCTGAAAGCCTACTAAAGGGTTACACCGCAGCCACTCCTACTTCCTAGAGAGGCTGGAGTAACCTTGGGGCTGGAGGATGGGTGGGCATATGGATTCGGCAAGGCCTCTTCCTGCGCCCAAACACCCTGCCTCGTAGGAAACTATCAGAACAAGAGGCAACAAGAAACACCCCTCCCTTCCCATCTACACCAAGGGGGGAACTCATAGATTGTGGGGACGGAGCATTAATGCACAGGTGAGAATCACGCTGGGTGCAAAATTGGGACGTCAAAAGGTTTTTTGCCAGAGTCCAGTCTCGCTCACTTGTGGTCCTGGCGCACTCTTGCACTTTCCACCTTTGTGCGTTCCTTAGCTACATTTGCAATTTGCAATTTGTTGTGGGAGCTTAAGTTTCTCTTCCGGGGAACCTTTTATTTTCCATTTTCTCCTTGATTCCACTTTAAAAAAAAAACAAAAACCACCAGAATTTTCTTTCTTCCTGCTTGCAATAGGCTGAGCTGCCTGCCCTTTTAGAAATCTCTTTTTAGAAAGCTTTGCTGCCCTTTTAGAATCTCTTTGCTGCGATGAA